ATAATATAACACACACACACACACACACACACACACACACACACACACACACACACACACACACACACACACACACACACACACACACACACACACACACGCGTCTCAGCGGCATTTATTATTTTTGTCGATCTAGCAAGAATGTCAACAAGCCCGAGTGGGAGGGTTTTCCCAGTTTCCCTTCTGACTGTGCCAGGAGATGGGAAAGTGCCAAAGCCCTCAAGGCTGGGAGCACCGTGGGAGGGCGTCAATGTCTCGAAGATGTGACCAGGCGAAGCAGAGAGCGTGCTGCGCGAAATCCCTGAGCGGCCATCCTAGCACTCATTGCACGCGATCAAAGGGAGTGTACAGAGGCCGGCGAGAAATCGTAGCATTGCTTTCCATTTATATTTTTGGGAGAGATAGTATTGCTCCGAATACTAGGGACCATTGCAGATGTCAGCTGCCTCTCATGGTCCAGATGATATTCCACCATGCACATCCAAGGTACGATCCGCATGCCACACTGGTGCTCTTTCCGGCGGGCTGGCTGTGACTTGACTTGGGGAAAAGCCGAAGCCTCGAATGCCAGGATGACTCCAGTGCAACCTATCATGAGGCCGTGGTTTGTCTGGTTAGTAGCTTGACGGATTGCATTGCCTCAGGTGACTTCTGAAAACGGACTTGCGCCTTTGGATGGGCTGACTCTTGTCTGCGCCTTGGCCTTGAAGTGAAGTGCCTCGCACGTGGTGGAATGCTAGGTAGTGATCGACTCTCCGTGGAAGAGGGCACAGGTCAGTCTGTATCTGCTGGCAGTAAGTGGAAAGTGGAAAGGCTAATTTAAGCGTTTTGGCTGTCAGTCTTTTCATAGTTCACTTTGCAACGCAGGTGCTTCGCAAGCACCCACGGCTAGCGAATCTGCGATCAGTCAGTCTCTCATGTTTGCCTCTGGGATTGTCTCATGCTTCGCCTGCCCAGATCAGATTGGGGCATCCTCCGCCCTCGCGTTTCTGGCGCTATCACTCCGAGGGAACAGGTGGGAGTGGTGTTGCTGACTCTTCTGCCGCGTTGTACTGAGATATCTAGCAAGAAACGGTGAGGCTTTTTTGTGGAGCTTGCAAGGGTGCAATTTCGTTCCCTGCCGTCCGCAGGCTGTGTCTCAACTGTAGAGGCATTGGTCCACTGCCTTGAACGCTGAACTTATTGGAATTCGATGAGGCCCTGGCAGCGCTCGCCAAAGAAGTGTCCTCTGAAGGAGGATCCGCAAGCGCCGGGTGCTCGGGCCACTTTTGTGGGCATCCTAAGTGAAGTTTGGCTCTTGAAAGCAAGCTGGGAGACTAGTCGTGCGCGCTCGTCACGGCCAGGCTCAAACGAACCCATGCAAGCATTAACAGTCTCAGGGCAAAGCGGCTTGAACTCGAGCGGCAGGGGCGGGCTTGGGCCTGGGCTGGGGGCTAGAGGCGCTGCGGCTGAGGGCTGCGAGGCTGGAGGATGCGCGCAACGGCTGGGTTCAAACTGCCACACAAGCGGTCGTTCCCAGCTTCGTGAAACTTGTTGGCTGGTGGGTTGCTGCCCGGTCTGAGCGTAGAATTTGAGCAAGATTGCGCCTGGGACTGGCCTGTGTCGATTGACCTGGCTTGCTGAACTTGGGTGAGCTTGCTGAGTCTGGGAGCTGAGAGCTGGGGCTGGGTCTAAAGCGCCAAATCCGTGCGTAAGCCTTTTTTTTTATTTTTAAATAATCTTTGCATGTGTGAAAGTCTCATGGCGTTTTCTCGCCGAAGAAGCGTTGGCAGTCGGGCAGCTGACAAGCAAATTGATGTGCCAAGGGGGCTGCCGGCTTGGCCCACGCCTCAAATCTCGGCTCATGCTGGCAAGATCCCAGATTGAAACCGCGCAAGTGGACACCCGTGCTTTGGATGGAAAGAATCCCTAAGAAGCGCAATGAGCATGAGCCAACGCGAGCTTTCGAGCAACTCCTTCCATCTCTGCCTCAGGACCCTATGCTGGAGGACCCATTGCTCTTCTTCTTCGCAAGCGACACAGCGGGCGGGGAGAGACTGGCAAAGCCTCAGGTCCTTGCATACGCAAATGTTGACGTGTTTCACGTCATGCCTCGTCATTCTTGTGGCTCATATAAGATAGGAGCATTGCCGGCAGTTGGTTGAATGGTTCTGTGTTGTGTATGGCTTTTCGGCCGAGGTTCGGCAGTTTGCCTACATCTCTGAGAGACATGTTTCTGCAGGCCTCGGGTTCCGGCTTTAAGAGAGTTTCATTGAACAAAGCGCACATGTATTGCATGAACATGTAGGGTTCCATTTCGGGTATCTATTTTTGATCCACAGGACCCACAGCCGTGCAATCCTTCCAAAGCTGATGTGGACTTGCAGACTGCCAGGTGCTGAACGGCCCATGGACGCAACTGCCAAGCAGCGCCGCATGGATCAGGCAGGACCGCTCTGTCTCTCACACGGTTCCGTCACCAAGGGGCGCCAAGCAAGAGTGTCCAAACTCCAGCACCCCAACGAGCAACAGCGCTGCCAGTCTTCCTGGGAATCAGATCAGAACTTCCGAACGGCACCTTCGGATGGCTTCAGATTTCCGACAGGTGCGGCAGAAGGACCGCGTCAAGCGGCCAAAGCTGCGGCCATACGGTCCAGAGGCACGACGCTTGTCCGGCCCGCGCCTACCTGCCTGACCTGACAGCCAAGGTTGGGCAGAATTGCTGTAAACAGCCAGCCCGTGGTCTACTTTGAATGAAAGGTGTCCAAAGGAAGGTTGTTTAAACAATGGTGGTTTGAACTTGCTTACAGAGCCGAAGCCTGACTGCCAGGTGGAAGGTGAGGAAGGCGATCTTGATTGCGCAGAAAAGACTGCAAGCGTTGTGCGCAAGGGGTTTGTTTTCGTAGCTGCGCCGGAGCGTGTTCTACGGTTCTTTTGTATGGCTCTGCAAGTTCTTGCTTGAAGCAGGGGACCAGGCCGAAGCCATTGTTATGGGAACTCAGGACGGTGAGTCGCGAATTCGAGGCATTTGGCTTAACCCTTTGCCTGTGGCTTCTGCCTTGCCGCCAAAACAGCCCTCGCCACCCTTCCGACCGCCCAAAGCTTCCGGAACTCGACTGGAGAACCAGAGTCTTGAGCGATTTGGCTCCACAGTTTGCACAGCTAGTGCGGCATTTGCGGTTGGCAGGCCATGGCTATGGCCATGTTAGCGTCGAAGCATGTGCAGCTGAAGTACCGCAACAGCTTCATTGATGTGGAGGAGTCAGACCAAGAGGAAGAACCTTCGGATCGCAAGGGACGTGCCAGCAGTGCCCCACCCCTAGCACCACGTGCCAGCACTATGACCACTGCTATGCATGAGGAGGCCAACATGCACCGGTATGTGTGCCACCTCAGTTCTGCCATCAACAAACTCCAGAGCTGTGGATACGGAGAAAACTCCACGGCAAGCACAGCTGACGAAGATGGAGCCTCACCTGTCTCCTCTGCGTCCGCTGATTCTGTGGCCCGTGTCGGTCCTGGTCCGGAGCCGGCGGCTCAAGACGAGTCTTACCTCGCCCCCAGCCGCGGAAGTCTTGGTCATCCAGAATTATGCCGTCGCCCATGCATCTACGTGGCGGTCGGCCATTGTGAGAACGGCAGCGCTTGCAGCTTCTGCCACATGCCTCACGAGGAGAAGGCGCCAAAGCTGGACAAGAGGCGCGATCTTTGCCATCACAAGCAACCCAAAACGGCTTTGACATGTTGAACCCCGTTTTGAGCTGTGACAGCCAACACCAGAGCCACGCATCGACTTGGGACTAGCGGGGACCGCCTGAATCCCGGGATCCACGTAGGCCCCCACTTGAGTGCGAATCGCCAAATCGCAAGGCAGAGGGGCATTTTGCAGAACTTGAGCCGCCGGGAATTGCTGGCGCTCGTGCTTCAGTCTTGCCAGCCCAAAGCCCGGCTCCTTGGCCCCGCGGTGCACGAAATCTTGAGCCTCCTCGAGGCTGAGGCTGCGAACGGGCCTCTTCCGGCCTGGATCAATGAGCGTGACGCCCGTGCCTGGACTGCACATTCGGCGAGGCAAGTAACCGCAGCACTTCGGACTGAGGGTTCCTCGTGCTGATGACATCCTGCTGACTTTCCTGCTGACTTTCCTGCTGACTTTCCTGCTGACTTTCCCGCTTACATCCCGCTGCTTCCTGTCTCCTGACCCCCCCTGCTGACATCCTGCCGACATCCTGCTGACATCCTGCCGACATCCTGCTGACATCCTGCGGACTTTCCTGCTGACTTTGCCGCTCACATCTCGCTGCTTCCTGTTCGCATCCCTGCAGCATCCTGCTGACATCCTGCTGACATCCTGCCCACATCCTGCTGACATCCTGCTGACTTTCCTGCTGACTTTCCCGCTTACATCCCGCTGCTTCCTGTCTCCTGACCCCCCCCTGACATCCTGCCGACATCCTGCTGACATCCTGCCGACATCCTGCTGACATCCTGCGGACTTTCCTGCTGACTTTGCCGCTCACATCTCGCTGCTTCCTGTTCGCATCCCTGCAGCATCCTGCTGACATCCTGCTGACATCCTGCCCACATACTGCTGACATCCTGCTGATATCTTGCTGACTTTCCTGCTGACTTTCCCGCTTACATCCCGCTGCTTCCTGTTGCATGCTGTCACATCCCTGCAGCATCCTATTGCATCCGCGCTGCGACCCACGCTGAGGCAACCTTCAAAAGACGCTGCGGCGCATGAACTTCTCCAACTTGATCGGCCTTGTGACGCACCAGGCGCCCTCCCGTGGCCTGGCACTCGACGCTCGGCCTGATAATTGGTTTGAGTCAGAATCGACGCAAGTGCAACTTCGTGAGGAAAGCGCCCAGCTGATTGCAGATGCTCTGGAGAAGCTTCGGCATTTTTCTGAGCATACGTTCAGCTCTTCGCTCAGCACTGGAGTAGGGCATTTCCCGGGTTGCTTCCCGGGGCATGTGCCCCCAAATTGGCTCAACTTGAGCAATCCAGTGACATGGTCTTTCTACAGTTTTGGTGTGTCATTGATACCAATTTTTGGCAAGGGCGGCAAAGCGCTTGAAGCGGAAAAACCGTTTGTGATCATTTGTGGTGATCATTGCCGACAGCAACGCAGCAGCTGGTTATAGATCTGCTTGCGGAGCGTCGTTGTCTTTCTTTGCTTGGTCCGAAGACACTGACATTTTGCGGGTCAACGGAGATCCTTGACTCAACCTGGTTTGCAGGGCTCAAAGGCCAGCGCAACCATGCTCTCTTGCTGCCATAGGGCAGCCCATGAAGGCTGAAATATCCTGAGCCACTTGAGCGGGATCTTTCCTGCAATGCTGTAACTGTCTCTGGCTCCGACACTCCACTTTGAAAGCTAGCAACTGGTTTTCAAACTCGGTTTCAACCATAACTGGAGCCTGACGCTGTTTGAGCGCTCAAGTTGCTTTCGATACGATGCAAGCTCTTGCTTGTGTCGACCCAGCCGGCCACACATACTACAAGGCTCCTGCATGCGGGAGAAAGAGATGGACGTTCAAGCCAGGTTTCGTTCATCGAACGCCAAGCACATTGAGCTGCATGCCAATCTATGCCTGTCCGAACTCGTAGCCGCGGGCATGCAGGGTATGGACGACACAAAGCTTTCGCCAGAATGCCGACATGAAGCATTTGTAGGACCTGGTAACTGATCCGATGATCCGACCCAGAAGGTTGATCCCAGAGCAAGCCGCGGGCCTGAAGCAAAAGGCCAGCACAGATCTTGCACCAAACACATAGCTCACATGAAGCAGCTTTAGCTTGACTAAAGCAGCTTTGGAGTCGGTGCAATTGGTCACGGCCTGAGGCTAATGACAGCTTGCAAGAGGGGCAATCACTGCCGAAGCTTCGCACATTGCTTGTGGTTCCGCCTTTGATCCTGGCTGAGGGTTGGCAATGCCTTTGGCAGTGCAGGGCTTGGAGCAATCTGGGTGCGTCACAATTGAATGGAAGATGTGCTTCGGCAGATAGCATTGCACACCATGCATACTTTGCCCCTTGAGTGAGGATTCCTGGAGTGTGCTGAAGGAGGGGCATTTGCATTGTTCGCAGACAGTTTTTGTTTTTCAGCTGGCAAAATGTCATGCAGAGCATTTGCAAGGCGTCAATGTCAGAAGCAGCTGCCCTCAGGAGATTTGGTTCAAGGACGAGCATGTTGATCCTGTGTTCGAAGGAGTCGCGCCTCAGCAAATAAAAGCTATGAGGCCTCTCAAGTTGCCAATGCTTTCCAACCGCCAAGCGACACCTTTGATGAAACACCAGGTAAATTGCAAAATTACGAAGATGTTGTGATGGTGTTTATAGGTGACGCACCATTCCGTCTGTTAGGTGGTGCGAAATGGATTTTGTCCACGCGCAGTATCTGGACAAAATCAAGGGGTGCCTTTTAGAAAAGCCACAGGTCCGGGACTTCTGTGCCTTTGACGCGGCCCTGTCCACGGTGTACAGCCAGGTGCAAGCCTACATGAAAGGCTGGGGGAATGAGTCCAGGGATGGTTCTCGAGGCCGGGCCGCGGGGCTGCGGAACGATAAGAAGACATTTTTGCTTCCACAAGAAAGAAACCAAACGCGGTAGAAGGGGGGGTCAGAGTCACGAGGAATAGAATCGTGAGCTCCATTCTGTTCGCGAATATGGAACTCTGTCCATTCTGTTCAGGGTCCCTCTGTACGCGAATAGAATTCTATTCGCGAACAGAATGGAACTCTATCCATTCCATTGAAAGCCCCATTCTATTCGTTCCATTCTATTCGCGAACACTTCGGGGTAGAGTCCCAGCTTATTCACGAATAGAATGAAACTCTACATTTTTTCAGAGTCCGATTCTATTTGCGAACAGAACGGGGTAGAGGCCGATTCTATTTGCGAATAGAATGGACCTCTGTCCCTTCCATTCAGAGCCCCATTCTATTTCGCGAACAGAGCGGGGTAGAGTTCCATTCTATTCGTGAATAGAATGGAACTCTGTATTTGCGAACAGAACGGGGTAGAGCCCGATTCTATTCGCGAATAGAATGGACCTCTGTCCCTTCCATTCAGATCATTCTATTTGCGAACAGAGCGGGGTAGAGTTCCATTCTATTCGTGAATAGAATGGAACTCTGTCCTTTTTTTCAGAGTCCGATTGCATTTGCGAACAGAACGGGGTAGAGGCCGATTCTATTCGCGAATAGAATGGACCTCTGTCCCTTCCATTCAGACCATTCTATTCGCGAACAGAGCGGGGTAGAGTTCCATTCTATTCGTGAATAGAATGGAACTCTGTCCATTTTTTCAGAGTCTGATTCTATTTGCGAACAGAACGGGGTAGAGGCCGATTCTATTCGCGAATAGAATGGGCCTCTGTCCCTTCGATTCAGAGCCCCATTCTATTCGCGAACAGTGCGGGGTAGAGTTCCATTCTATTTGTGAATAGAATGGAACTCTGTCCATTTTTTTCAGAGCCCCATTCTATTCGCGACCAGAGCGGGGTAGAGTTCCATTCTATTCGCGAATAGCATGGAACTCCGTCCATTTTTTCAGAGTCCGATTGCATTTGCGAACAGAACGGGGTAGAGGCCGATTCTATTCGCGAATAGAATGGACTTCTGTCCCTTCCATTCAGAGCCCCATTCTATTCGCGAACAGAGCGGGGTAGAGTTCCATTCTATGTGGGGCCCATCCATTGGGACTCTTCATGGGAGAAGAATGTGAGTCTATACAGGAATAGCATGGGATTTTATACAGGCATAGAATGGGGACTCAAAACGGGAATCGAGTGGGACTCCGTTCGCGAATAGAATGGAACTCTTCCTGGTTCCATTCGTGAGTAGAATGGGATTCTATACATTTTTTTTTTTTTTTTAAATCGTGACTTTGGCCCGCCTCTTGTCGTGGTTTTGGCCGCCCCCTTATCGTGGTTTTGTTGTTTTCTGTCGTGGTTTTGGGGTCACTTCTGTTCTCCGACGCCCTTGTTGCTGGCTTGCTAGCTTGACAAAGGTGTGGAACAACTGTCGGAGGGAATGTCGGTGCTGGCTGCGCCCTGGCTGGCTGGTGGCACAGGGGTACTCAGTTTGATCCTGTCTGAAGCCGAGGATGGAATACACTCAGTACTGAGCCATGGTGTCGGGCGCTTTGGCAATCTCTGCAGTGTGCGTGTGTGTGTGTGTGTGTGTGTGTGTGGCGCGCGCGCCAGATGTGAACTGGCGAAAGCAGACACAACTATTCAGCCCTCACAGTGCACGCTGTAAATTTGGCAGCTCAATGGATCTCTGTCAAACTCTATCCAACTCAATCAACGTCAAGTGATCGACCACAGCCAATTCTGTTGAGGCTGGAAACGCTGCCTTTGCCCGAAGTTTGACACAGCTTTGCGAATTCCTTGAGCTACCCCAAGGCCGAGTCTCAGACAACCTCGGACAGCTGTAAGTTCAAGGAGGCATGGCCTATGTGCTGGGGAAGGTATGGACAAGGGAAGGAGAGAAGGACATTTAAGGCAAACAAATGGAAGAAAGAGGAAGTGTGGACGCAAAGAACGGGCGGCCCGTGGCCTTGCCCTGAGCTTTGCAACATATTCATTTGATTGTAGCAAGTCAGGCCAGTTGGTTGACACGGTGAAGTTGTTGGGCTACACCAGCACGGACCCAAGGTAGCTACACTGCCAGAACGCACCAGCACTCGTTTCAACCCTTTGCGTGTTACATACACCCAATGTCGACAATTGATAACTCTGGGAAACTAGCAAGTTGCGACTTTGAGCAGTCAACCATCCTGAGTTTTGCCATAATCCAAACCCTTTGAAGCAAGCAACAAATCCAAACTACATGAGCAGGGGTGTGGTTTTGGTGTGTGCAGATTTCCCGTCAGACTGATGTCTTTTGCAATTTGCTTATGACACTCTTACTTTGCCATGTCACACATCAGCTCCGAGTCCCCTTGTTGGATGCTCTGGCAAACAAGAGACGAACCATTTGGAGGCATCCCAAATTTGACACGCGCCAATCTATGAGACTGTGGCATGCCTTTCAGTGGTTGGAATCAAGGCCAGCAGCGTTTGCGCTTGGAGGCTAGCAACCAGATCGCCCGCGCAGATGCGCCTCACAGTTCGCCACTTATTTTGTTGGGGAGAGGCGCAGCATTGCCTGTCGTAAATCACGCAACGTCACAAAACAGCTGAGCGCTCCGAGAGCTAGGTGCTGTTGCAAAGCTTCGCCGAGACATGTGCGTGGCCCTAGAGGGAGGGAATGTAACGAAGGATGCGCCAGCCGAGGGCCTTCAACATTCTCACTCCGATGCAGAGTCACATGGCCAACAACCGCCAGCTAAAGGCGCTGAGGGACACCACCAGGAAAAACCGCTCATTTTGGGTTTTGGGGTCTCCCCAAAAAGAGACACCCCTGTCTTGACTGCTTCCCTGCTTGAGCTCTCTTTGTTTTGTCCTCTTGTCTTCCTCTTAGTTTTCTCCTAGCTGATACGGCTCTCTATTTATGCAAGGAATTGCTACAAGATGGTTTGCACCTGGTAATGCTGCTGTCTCCCCACTTGTCTCCCCTCTTGTCCCCCTGCTTGTGCTTATGCTTGCTGACTCGGACCTTGTCACGGCTTGTCTCCCGCTTATCTCCCGACTTTTCTCTCTCTGCTAGACCTTCTCCCCACTTGTCTTCCTACTCGTGCTTGCTTGTCTTCCCACTTGTCTTTCCACTTGGTTTTCCACTTGTCTCCCCACTTGTCTCTCCTCTTGTCTCTGTCTCCTCGCTTGTCTCCCCATTTGTCCTGCGGCTTGTCTCTTCACTTGTCTCGAGCGCAAAACTAGCATCGATGGAGGCCCTGTAAAGGACGCGTCCGCACTGGAAGGCCCAAGATAGGTCCACGTAGACGGCCCAAGGACAGGCCCGCGTAGCAAGGTCCAAGTAGGAGAGGCGGGGAGAGATCCACGCAGGCGGGTCCAGGATGTAAAGGAGGGTCCACACAGCTCTTTTGTGACAATGGGGGCGGACAAAATACCCATCCGAGACACGGGTGCAAGCTATTCAGACCCCCAACGCTTTTCTCCAGTTGTCTCTCCACCCTCTCCACTCCCCGCTTGTCTCCCCGCTTCCCTTGTCGCGTAATTCGTACGCATGGCATGTCAATTCAATCAACCTGCTCTCCGGTTGGGACGTTGTGCGATTGAACCCCCGATGTGCGAGACGAACCTGGAGATCCGGCAGCGCCGGCTAGTGGAGCTTCAGGCGGCCAAGAGGAGCTTCGAGGAGCGGCGTACGGGCCGGGCCGGGTCCGCGTGATTTGACTTGTTCTGGGGAGGCAAAACTAGGGCAACCCTCAAATGGACTCCCCTGCGAAATGGAAATGTGGACTAAAATCTGCGGTCCATGTCCTGGTGACCCATACCATACCCATTTGCCCTTTGAGCATTTTGACTATGTGGTCAATGCACTTTTCCGCGATAGCTTCGGGATCTTTAACAACACAAGAGTTGCTGAAGAGAGGGGTTCGCTCACTAGGCATTCGAGGCTGCAGGAAGAAACACGTCATCGTGCCAGGAGGCGAAGAAGAATCACTCTGAGAGGGATCCCCGGCACATTGAG